AAAAAAAAAATAGATTATTTTTTTGTATTAGGTAAAGACTTCAGCAACAACAAATGTTTTCCTGTGTGGAAAATATTATTTTTCATTCATTGATATATTATACATTAATTCATGTCTTATAACTTACAAGACTTACGATGCGTTTGTATGTCTTACACGACAACAGTTTCTATACGTACCATTGTACGTACAGTGAATTAAACGGAATATTAAATCAGATAATATTCAGGGTTTGTAGAATTATTATTCGATATCCTACCTATCTGCATAACATATGGATTTCTTACTCGCAAGGGATAGCTTAAATTTCCTTTATTATTATTATTATTTAATAATTTTTTTTTTTTTATTCGTTACATAATAACTATGTAAATTAGAACTTATGGCCTAGTAGCCAATGTTATTATGATTAATAAAAAAATAAAAAGTATTTTTACTGTTTTGATCTTTCAAAGTTTCAGACAGTATTTCTTTTTCGTGGATTATTTGATCAAAAGAATTTTGAATGTAATGTCTATTGGTACTCGGTCACCGGTACAGTCAAACGCAACTTAAGTAATATACAGCAATCAATTATAGTAGGCACCTACTAATGCTACCACAGTAAATTAAAATGGTAGGAAAGGTTCAAAAACATTTTGAAAATTTAACCCATTACTATAATATGTATAATATATTGTGATCAGTATGTAATATATATGTCACATCAATTTCTTGTTCTTATCCGTTTTGTGAAATGGATGGAAAGTTCATCCAGTTCACGAAACGGAACTACATTTTTTATACTTCACGTAATTACAAAATATGGATATATTTTCACGGAACGAAAGAGGAAATTTAGTAGTACGCAGTTTGCTCTGTAATCTGTAGGTACATACACATAACGAAACAAATAATACTTGAATAGTTTTTATAAAGAAAAATAACTTGTTGTAATAACAAAGATACTTTATCGATACTGTGAATTTTCGACAGTCGTGTTTATCTGTGATCCGCATTACCAGTAAATTGTACAACATTTTATTGATGTACAGTCTTGTAATGATACTCGTTAAGTGTAAAGGCGAATTAATAAAATTATTAAGATAGGTTAAAAAAACTATATAGGCATATATGATATGACCAGAATACGTATTATTTTGTTTTGTAAATTTTATCAAACCACGTGTCCCATTTACGATTGATACGCGAGTAGATTTGATGACAATAATAGTCAGACTCATAGAAAGTCTATAAAATGATAAATGGAGCCGATATATACTGACTATACTGAGACCTTATAATATTATATGTATATAATTATAATATACTATACTATACTGAATGATGTGTATGCGGTTAGGTCCAAAATAATTGACAAAACGAACAAAAAAAAAAATCTTTTTGTCAGTTTGAAATGCCGTTTAGAGTATAATTTAAGGGTAAAAAATACCAACACAAAATGTGTTACAAGTTTTGGGTGAAATTGTATACGACGATCGTAAAATAATAATGTATCGAAAAGAATATCCTATTTTTAAGGAAACGTCGTTACGTATTTTTCTGAAGAGTTTTGGGTTACCATAGTAACATTATTCTCTCGATAATATAATATGTGTTTAAAATGCGTAACACTGTTAGACCTTTTTTGTATCGTGTGGTATCACAACTGAGGCAGGAACCACGATAGTATTACTTCCACCAATTGCAGACCTTATTGAATACTTCGTGCATTTGTATTTAATATATTTTATACACTTCATTATCTTGAAATCGATGAATTCCCATCGAACATTTCAAATTGACAGTTATAAGTGGTGGGTGGAGAAATATATCATCTAATTGTTCGTTCAAAATTAATTTATTAAAGTATTATCTCATTTATCGGGTATCTATATAGTATGCAATATATATAGATACATAAAAATGTTGGAATTAAGTCTTTTGTCAAATATCAAATGTCAACAGAGGCATAGAACGAGAAGTGGAAATTATATTTCACCTCGCTTAATTTTACGAGTCAATAGTATTATACTATGTAATATGTTAAGTTGAAAACTTAAGCCCATTATATAACAATAAGAACAATCTTCGAAAGCTCATTAAGTATGGTACATTTTTTGTTTTTTTTTTTTTTGTGTTTTATCATAAGATAAGTTGACCTCGATTCTCACTTTCATTTTAAATTAAGCAGTGATGCAAAAGACATCGCCATTTTTTTTATTACGTGGGTGTGATTCAAAAGTTGCATGTTGAGGCCTGATGATACATTTGAAATACAACCTAGTAGGTTTAGGCAAAGCAACAAAATTTATAATAATTCAAGTTCACAAAAAATCGGACAGTTTACAAGCGGCAATTATAATTAAACATCAATTTTATAGGTACCTTCAACAGTATTAATTTATTAATAAAATGACGCAGCAGAACATTTTTTAGTAATAATATGACAATCTATATAAGTACTGCATTATCAAGAGTCGATGGGCACTGTAAAAGCAACGTAAATGAAAAAAAAAATTACTTCAAATTGTATAATTCATAATATATAATACTTTATTTAAAATAATAATTTTAAAATCTGGTTTCGACTTTCCTAATATTTACTTTGTTAAGAGGACTTTCGTTTTCCTAACTATTTTCTAAGATTTTTCAAGACACGGTTACGAGTCTGGCTCAAAATCAATATTACGGTTATGGTCACATAAATAAAACATAATCTAAACACGTAATTATAATTTCGCTTATAGCTTTGCATTTTTGTTTATCCCGGTTTGGTTGGGCACATGTCTAAAACTGAAAATGTCAATCGCTAAATTCTGATAAACGCAAACGCTAAGAACTGAGGGATTCTTTTGATAACATTTTTATTTTATATACCTATGAGGTATTGAGGAGCGTCATAAATATGGTTAAGAATAATAACGAACATGACCTGCAGTTTTTTAAGATAAACTATAGGAAATTTAAAAAAAACATTTGTTCTATAGTCGAACAATTTAGGTACGCATGAAAGAATTTCGTTTTGATACTGCATAAAATATACAATAAAATGTTATTTATACAATTATATAAACATCTCGAAACAAAACTACAATACAACACTATTAACGCTTAAAATACGCTATTTCTTGAAGAATAGAGTTCGTGTAATTGCAAAAGTCTCAAATGTTTTACAATACGAACTCTACAATAGAGTAAAAACTCAAAACTTTAAGTGTGACTCACGAATATGTTACAAGAGCTTTTGGTATATTATTCAAACTGTTATAAAAATTAAATTCTAAACTGCAAGTTAAATTTTAAAATTAAAAGATAGCAGCTGCTTATTAGAGCGATAACTAGTATTCAGATAGTGTCAGCTGACATACTTTTTACTTATTTGTTATACAATATTTTTGTTCTAGATTTTAAAAGAGATCTATTAGGTAGTGTAAATGCAATATGCATATTACATTAGTGTCAATCAAATTTTTTTTTAGTAAGGGGACTTGCTGAAATAGATACATGAAAGAAATGAAAAAAATAAGTACTAAATTGTGTTGTATGGTATCAAAATGTATAATAATATATCGAAAAAGTAAAACAAAATAACGATTAAATGGGTTCACTTAAATCCGGTATGTACAAAATATTTTAATTTGAGGCTTAGATGTAAAAAAGAGTGAAAACCATTATAATAAAAGTACAATTTCGGTATAATGCTACATCATACCACCCAAAACTCACGTTCAAACAGACCATTGTTCTAATTTGTTTTGTTTTTTTAGGTTACTAAATACTATAAGTTTGAGGTTTTTTTACTGAAATATGTGTAATTTTAGTAACAAATAGTGTTTCGTGTAATGTAGGTACTTTCAATTGTAATCATTGCTAAAATATATTTGCTTAGCAAATAACCAAATAGATAATATTAAAAAAGCAGAACAAAATGTGAGATCTAGGGTTGACCTAAAAACATATCAATCGTGGCACATTATTAGAAATGAATTATTAAAATAAAAAAAGTCCACAAACCAATGACATTCAGTAAGAATGTAATAAATTATTATATTACTTGATTTTCAATTTCATACAAATAATTGACCTAGTAAACAAACCAAATTACAGCGCTTTAATTATTATTTATTCAATACCAACACACGAAAGTGAATAATGACGTTGTTGTATGAATCTAAAATATATAACATATATATTGTATTATATTATAGTGTATATGACACGTTTGTAAGCAGTTAACTGTTGTGCAATGCAATATCGTGACGACCCGGGATTCACATTAAAATAAGTTTATAATAAGTGATTTAGGAGAATTCCTTATTTTAATTAATCATATACCTATTATTATAGTTTTAGTTTCAAGTGACGATGATAAATAATTTTGTTAAGCCAGTCATAAATGTAGACATTTTAATTAGGTCATCATTATGTCGGTTAGAAATGGTACCTATAATAGTTGTACGTATAAATAGGGAACGATCATTTTGCAACGACTGCGGAAAGATTATTCTGTTGTTATAACTATATATAATGTAATTTGGCTAACACAACAATTTAAAAATGTCAAAGAAAAACTTCCCAAAGTTGACGGAGCACTCCACTACAAAATCGGCAGAAGATCCACCAATATAAGACTTACACCTCGGCTACCACAGGATATCCTACAAGAACCCAAAGATGACACTTCATTCTCAGATTCTGACTTAGACTTATAAGCTAACCAAAATAATTCATTGTAAAATTCATTGTAATTTCGTAAATCTTTGAAAGTATAATATTATAATCATATAAATCGTAAATCGTATACTGTACCTAAAATTGTAAAAATACCTGGTGTATTGACACAATTAAATTAATAAATTTAAAAATATATATAATGTAATTTATAAAAGTCGTTACAAACTTGCGACGGTTGATGGAGGATAATTTAATGGATAAGTTTGTCGTCAAAAACTATTCAGACAAAACCATCTATGCGGGAAAAATATTATAAAGAAAAGGATAAAAGCAAAATAACTCACCGTAAGTTTCGGATATCGGTAAGCCCTGGACAAAACATTTTTCACCGCGGTTTGCCAACAGGATCGCTAAGACTCCGGCTGACAGCAATAGAGTGTAACGACACATCATACGTGTTCTTGGATATCAATGTAACTCTGCTGTATGGACAAAAAAAATAATATATAAAAACGTATTACATATATGTATAGCAATGGCCGAAAAAGTAATACTGTTAATGTCGTATAGATAGTTTCGACGAGACTAGATGAGAGTATTTGTTGACGGTATATATAATAAGCGACTTCAAACATCACGTTTTCTTTTTATTTCGTAAACTGTACTGTACAAGGGGGTTGTGCATCAAGCACTGTCACCCCCATTTTTCTCCTTTAATAATGAATTCGTTCAGTCGTTTTAAAAATGTTCAAGTACAGTCGAGAACAATATTTTTAATTATTAAGATTTTTATGCCGTTTTAGCAGTGTCCCGTGGCTATACAAAAATCTTATTTTAAAATGAAAACAAATAATATTTTTTACTGTAAAATGTCGAACACGTTAATTTTTTGAAAATGTTAATGTACCTAAATCAAAATTCAAACTACCTAATAATTTCCAAGTTATTATACACTATTTAGGATAACTATTAAATACAGTTCTTAAAAATAATTTTAAAAAATACCTGTATAATATATGATGAAATATTGAATCTAGTATTTATTTTACTTCATTAAACGAAATCAAGAATAAATGTTTTCAAGTAGATTGCGACAGATCTAAATAAATATTTAAATCATCTTAGGCCCTGTACTACTTATCTTCTTAGCTTATTATTGTGAACCTGTAGTAAGAATTTATAAGGTTCGGTATATTGACATTTAAAAACAAAGGTATGTACAACTTACACAAACAATGATTATTCTCATTAGAAAAATATAAATTTATATCGGCTTAGCATATTTCTTAATGGTATAAAAAGTAGAAGTATTCCTAAGACAACATGCCAACATGGTACTTTAGTGTTTTTAAAAATTCCAAAAACCAGAATTTTATCAGATGCAATATTGAAGGATAAAAAAGGGATGAACATGCTCAGTGAATTACCCTGTCTAGTGTATATTATATAATATACACTATCTAATACAAAATTATAGTGAATTGTATACTTATATGATGTGGTTGTAATAAGACGAGTTGTATTACGAGCATAAAATGTTATGAATACGTTTTTTGAAGAATAGCGATTTTTTGAATTGCTTTGAAAATACATTTTGTATGTTATTATCTTCCTGTGCAACGTATGCTATGATGTGTTCCTAATGTCAACGTAGTATATTATTGTATACATCAATACATATATCTAAGTCCCAGCAGCATTATTGTCCATGGTTTTCGCTTCAATATTTCAATATTGATAGAGTATAATAATATTATCATATAAAAACAAAATTAATATTATTTAATTCTTTATAATGAAATATAATTGCACCTTATTCAATTATTAAATGACAAACGTTAAATTTGAAATACCAGTCAGACGTTATTAACTTAGATTTATTTAAACCATCGGGGGCAGATTAAGGACGGTCAACTAGCGATTCACATGGAATTCCAAGTAATTCAATATCACTTATTATATAGACAATAATCATGATACGTATAGAATGAGGAAATACGAAAGAAATATATTTACCACTCATACGTATGTTGTCGATATTGACTTCTACTAACCGAGATATATGTATACGAAGATGGCCTATTTATATAAAAAGTTATAAAAACTCTTTCCAAGAACTAGTGGATTTATTTAAGTACGAGCTTCACTAAGCTTCTGTTGGACGCAATTATTGTCGTTAGTATAAATTCTTAACGAGAATCGATGGTTTTGAGAACAACAACGTCTTACATTGACAAAAAAAAAATACCGTTTGTACCTATTTCCTATAAAATATCGTGAACAACATATCATTCGAGAACATAATATACAATCAACCACTGGAGTACCTACTGAAAATATCATGAATATAAGTGAAGCACTAAATCAGGAGTGCCCAACAAAGTGCTCCTGTTCTTTGTTCTTCTGTAGTACGCATACAACATATTTATATAAATTTGAACTATGGAATCAAAGTAGTAAGTAAACACACGACCAATTATGATGATTGTTGACGGGATGTATTGCTTTTACACGAAATCGTCAAACTTTAATCCCTCTCACAAATCGTACCAGTGTTTGCACTTTTTTACTGAAACGTGCAATCAGAGGCAACTGCAGTTTGTTCAGATCAGCACGAAAGCAAATATTCAATGGTTTCTGATTAAATGTCACGAGGTCACTTCATAGTATATACAGAGTGAGTCACCATATTGTTTCCCCTTAAGCTATGTAGTTATTCAAAATCTGATTTTCAAATTATTAAATCTCACGCCATATATTTTTACCAAAACTTGAGATTTTTAGTACTATTTAAGAAGTGTCTTGTGGAGGTACGAATATATCTGTTTTTAAAATGACCCAGCCTACTTTTTGAACAATAAATTATTTAGCAGATAATTTTTCTTAAAATTATGAAGTATCAGAATCTAAATTCAAACTAGTAGTTTTTGAATTATTTAGCTTAGTGCACTAAGGACATGGGAATGGGTTTGGAACACTTTGGAAGATATGGGCACTATATAGGGACTATGAGGAAAACATATTTTTTTTTTTTTAGAAATCAAAATAAATGGTTACAAATTTAAACAAATTTAGTATTAATAACTATAAGAAACTATAAGAAATTTTGAATTAAAGGTATCGAAGTTTTCAAAAAGATCATCCACTAAATAATTTAGACTTTACAGTAAAAAAAGGGGGTTTTCGTATGAAAAATATAAGTTTGTATCGCCATTGGGCACTCCTTAAGCAGTACAAAAATTAAATTATGGTATTTTAATTTATTTCAAAATTCTAAAACTCAGAATTTGAAAAATGGGAATGGGCATAATTAGTAAATCAACTTGCATAATATGATTATGTGATACCTAATTGTATTGTAGCCCCTGTACAATTAATAATTGAAATCCACTGAGTAAACGTTGAATACGAGTACGAACGCATTCGTGAATATCGCACTTTTGTTCTCTAGCTTGTAAAACTTCACTAGAACATAATATAGACAACGGATTCCATACCAAACAAAGTTCATACAAACTACCAAACTTAACAGACATATATTACCTATTACCTATATAGTATAGGTATATAGTATTATAAATTATGATATATATTGTTATTTTACAACTTTTTAATTTTAATGTTAACATATCCATTTAAAATATTATTAATAAAACAGTTTAATTAAAATCAATATGATTTAATTGCTTGATGCGACTTACTGTTTTCGTATTTATTTTAGTTGTAATTAGCAATACACAATTTATTATTATTTTCATAATATTTTAAATATTATAATACATTATAATTATAAATGCATTCTAGTGCTAATTATGCATTTAAACTTCGCATAAATACCAACGCTTTAATAAGTGTTTTAATAATTTTCGCCTTTTTCGTTTTCCGATTACTGCGTCATAAAAATCACTCATTAAAGAACTAAACATACTCCATTCATCATATTAATATAATTTTGATTGACGTAAAAAAACGAAAGAACCGACGACGGGCTTAATATAAAAATATACAAGTACAGAATGTTTATAGGAACCTATACGTGTATTTTTATTCAGTAAGAGATTTTCAAAAATTCTGACAGACAACAATAGGTATCATTTTTCAGCCAGAAATTATTTTCCTCGACTAAATAATGTCAATGAATACGCACTCCACACACGAAATAAAAACGATTTGAAATGTAAAATTGGATTTTTCTCCGCATTCGAGTACAAACCACTTTACTACTGAGTCGAGTTTTTAAAACCACTCGTTGATTTTATGTAAGATTATACGGATAACCTACATTAAAATAAAAACCTTGAGAGTGTTTTAAATAAATCCCAACTCAATTGATATGATTATTGATATGTATGCACAAAATGTATTTTTAAATTAAAAATGTATACTTCTCTATCAAAGAAACAATTTTTTGTTTCATTATTATTCCAATAATACACTATTAATACCTTCGCGTACTTATGTTGTTCTGTTAGAAACGTTATAAAACTACCTAAAGGTAATAAACTATATTGAATTTAACGAACAATTAAACAATACGAACAGTATATTGTGTTTTTATGTTGTGAATAATAAACGACTACATACCGAACTCATAAGATCAACCGTCAACAATTTCAATGGAAAAATAACGTTATCAAACCGATATTAGGTATATCCTTATTTTAACTATGTATTAAATTTTATTGAAAATTTAAATTTCACCATCGACCGTTGCAAATTCCTAAAAAAACTATTATTAAGTTTATACGAATTACCATTATTTTTGATGGGTTCGATGTTGATATTGAACATACTGCTATGTACTGACAAGCACTAATACTTTATGTTTTATTCTATGTTTAATGTTCATGCACTATTTTGGCACTAGATTTTATTTCTTATTTTTACAGCAAGTTGCGAAATCTCACTTGTATTATTAACATGTTTAAATTCCGTTTAATAATTAATGGCTATGATAAAAGCAAAACAGAAAAGGTCTGGAATAACATTATGCATGCATATGATAAAACCAGCTAAAGGGTATTAAATGGGTTTAATGTCAATTAAAATTTACATTTGATTACAATTAAAAGCATTTAAAATATCGCTTTTATAATTTAAAATATGTAGGTAGATGCATAAAAATCAAAATAAATTACAATTTAATATTACACTCGATAATATTATTAATATTGCCAAATTATTATTGCCCAGCTTTTAAATAATACGAAATCGACTTGTTGAGATTTTACGTGGGTATAGGTAGTCTGAAAATACAGAAATATTTGAAAAGGACTATGATGAATGTATATAGCAAAAAAAAAAATGCTATAATGTAGTGATAAGTGATGGGTTTTCAGACAACTTTTGCCTCGATTACTTTTTTATAATGTGTACAATGTGCTATATTGTGCGGACATATTTCATACTCCTGCAGTCTGTAAGCCTTTGAATCAATAAGATAATTAAAAACTTATAATAGTAATTATTAAAATATAGAAAT